GTTAATAAAATAGACTTACAAGTAACAAAAGTTCTCACCTGCAATCGACACGTGACCACATACATATCCATACAACCCATCACTGAATATAATTTACCATTGTGGCTTTGGAAACAGTTTCTCTCCCACACGCGCACACACATCCTTCTTTCTCATCTTCAACTATTTGTGGGGGATGGGGACAAGTGACGGAAGCAAGAAAGGCAGAGGCTACGCGTAGAAGTAGGGGGGCAGGAGTGGGGCATCATTAGCTCCTTTTGTCAGGCCGTGTTACTCTTTTTTTTTTTAATTTCTTTCTTTCTTTCTTACTTGGAAGAAAGAAAGAAAGAAGAAACATGGTGAGTTATTTTTCCTGCATGTTAATTATCACCTGGATCTCAGTGTCAAATCACATCACCGCTTCTCCATCACTCTCACTCTGCTTCCTTGTAACCCTTGTTCTGGCCGTTGGATGGCTTTTCGCGGCCTGAATGTTGTTGCAGGCAGGCTCCTGTCCCTGGTATAATATATAATGAAGTATATGATGAGGTGGTGCTGCACAGAGCAAGTGTGTGTTTGATGAGAGGATGCTGAGGGAAAGGAAAGAACATACCTGAGGAGAAGCCAAGAAGGTTGTAGAAGTAGTAGCAGCAGCTCCTCCACATCCTCTCTGTCTCTGTCTCACTGCTCAAAGACTGTTTTAGCAGCATCGGCAGTGGAAGATGAACAAAGTTGAGGAATTTAAGCTGCTCAAAATCCAGGTATCATCGTTTCTTCTTTCTCTTTCTTGTGCCTGCCTTGGGAAGGGAAAAGGAAGATGTGAGGCCAGCTGAGAAAGTTTCTTTCTTTCGTTGGTTGGTTGGGTGGTTGCTGTTGCAGACGGTGCTCCTCAAAGTACACATACATTGTGATGGATGTAAGCAGGAGGTGAAGAAACTTCTTCAGAAAATTGAAGGTGATTCTTCTTATCTGATGTGATTCCCTGAAAATTTGTGGTAATGATGCAAGTTATTTCTTGTTAAACCTGAGAAGAACATGGAAGAGGAAATAAAGATTTGGTGTCTCCTATGTTGATCAAAACCTTATTTGATATCTTTTGCTGGATATTACCTTAAATTGACATCACTCCTGCAGAAAAGCATGCTGTGTTCATGATAATGGAGACAGCCACTTTGGTTTGGTGCTGCTTCTTATTTTTGCCCTTTCTATGACAAAATTCTCTCTCTCTCTCTCTCTCTCTCTCTCTCTCTCTCTCCCCTCAGGAAAATCTGCATCCATGGATGCTATTTTGCTACTGGTTTTCATAGTTTTCTGGGGAACTGTGCTGTCTCCAAGAATAATTTGCTAGGAAGAATATGCTGCTTGGAGTTGTTGATCAACAGATACATAGTATTCCTCTGATGCTTGGTTTTATTTTTTGCTCCATGTCTGGTTTCTTCCTGTGAAATTTTGTAGTGATATCTGAAAACTACGAAGATATTTGTTATGTCTTGATTGTCTTTCCAGGTAATGGTGACTTCATTCTTAGATCCGTTCAATCTTGGTCATTTGGAAGCAACAGGAATAGCTTGTATAAGGTGTGTGCTTACTCCATTTACCTCTTGAATCAGGAGTTTACACAGTCAACATAGATGCAGAGCATCAGAAGGTCACAGTCTCAGGGGATGTGGACTCCAACACCCTGATCAAGAAGCTGGCAAGATCAGGAAGGCATGCAGAGCTGTGGCCTCAAAAGTCCAACAGCCAGAGCAACAAGCCCGGCCATCAGCATCAAGGAAAAGAGGGGAACAAGAACAACAAAGGCCAAAGCAACCAAGGCAACCAAGCCCTTCTCCAGGGCCTTAAAGCATTCAAGAACCAGCACAACAGCATCGAGTCCTTCAGCTCTGATGACGATGAATTCGACGATGGTTTTGATGATGAGGAAGAAGATGATGAGCTGCGTTTTTTTGGTGATAAAATGAAGCAGCTTAATCTATTAAAGCAGTCAAACAACGCAGCAGCAGCAGCAGCAGCTAATGCCAAGAAAAATGGCAAACCTGGTGGGAATGGTAACAACAGTGGAGGAGGGAAGAAGGGTGGAGCTAATCCTAATCAAGCTACTGGATTGAAGGGATCAAATGCTGCACCTCACAACAAGGTGGGCAATGGAGCTCCTCTCTTGGGTGGTGGTGCAGTGGAGGGTAAATTGGGCAATGGACTGCTGGGTGTGGCAGGTCTCCAAGGACTTGGTGGGGGTAATGGGATGGGGTTGCATCAAGCTCAGCAGCAGCCAGGGACCAACTTCTCTGCAGGTTTCCCTGCGAATGGTAACGGTAATGGTGGTGGATTTGGGGTGAACCATCATCAATCACCGCCTCTGATGATGCCCTTACAGGACCAAGGGTATCTGAACCAGGCACCTTCCATGATGATGAACCTGAGAGGGCTCAACACCACCACCAACAACAACAATAACATCAACATGCTAATGAATGAGAGCAGGTACATGCAACCCCAAGTGATGTACAACAGGTCACCTCAGATCCCTCCCTACACTGGCTACTACTACTATCCCTACCCCTACTACCAAAGCCCTTATCTCAGCTACCACTCAACGGAGACTGGTGGCCATGGCCATCCTTGCAGTGATGAGAACACCACCAGTATGTGTGCCGTAATGTAAGAGAGCTTGGCTCCAATATGCATGTAGTGTGTGTCCTGTCCATTTGCTTCTCTGTTGGTAGACGAAAAAAAGGCTGGTCTGAATGGCTTAAATGTTGGAGCTGCTTGGCACTGATAGCAGTCCAGAATATTTACTTCGTGCAGTTATTATCCCATCCTGTCCTATCACCTGTTTGTGTTAGTTTATGGGGTTTCGAGTTTGTGCCCAAGCAACGCAATTTTGAAATTGAATGAATGTCATGAGAGAAGGGGGAGGGTCAAACTTGGGTTTACAGGCAGACATTGTCCCATGCTTTTAGTACAAGGGTTATGATGACAGGAGAGAGCAGATATCAGCAGCCCATGTGACAGAGTGTTACTCATCCGAGCAAATGATCATTAATATAAGTGGACAAATGTAATGAATACTGATGGAGATGGCATATATAATTAGTTGAAGCAAATACCTCCTTAATGTAGTTAAGCTAGTAGAAGAATGAATAATTCTCCACGCTGCAGCTTTTGGGAATGCTAGCAAAGCATGCTTACCATGCATCAGTGGTGGTGGCACTATTATGACAAAGCAGAGACTGTCATCCTTCTCCGCTAACATGGCTCAAAGTCTGTAACGAGGAATTTTAGAAGGCAAAGTGTGACATAAAAAATCATTGAAGGAAGAGAAGTCATGGAAATGTACTTTACACAAAGATGACGAATGCTTACGCTTTCCTCAGTCAACAAGTTTCACAGGGAAAGAAAGGTTGCCAAACTTGAACCCTTGTGAGCAAAGGCACCCAGGGAGGAAGGGACGCACGGACCACAAAGCAGCAGACATGTGAGCCGCTCATAATTTGGGCTACCTTGTGGGAAAGGGAGCTCCGCGAGAGGAAAGACATGATGGAGACATGGAGGCCAAAAGGAGGAGCAGGTCATGCAAGGGGTAGGCTAACTCGGGAAAAGGGTGCAAGTCCAAAGCACTACCAACCACAAAACCTCTTTGCGTGCTCCTCAGCTTTTGGTACAAGTGATATGATAGAAAGTGCAACAACTTTGGATCCCTTTGATGTCGATCTCCAAGGCTACCTGTTATCATGTTTGAGTCGGAAACAAGGAGAAAAAGAACAAAATATATGATGAAGATAATAATGGCGATAAACCCTGGGTGACGTCAACTGCCCCAGATGATGGCTCACGCCTCCGTTGACCTATCAGCACCTGGTCAACGCGGACCAAAACATCGACCAAGGCACATTAACACCCTGCTCAGGCTCGATTCCTCACGCCACGCCAACATCGATGTCAGACGCTACCAGAAGTACGATCCTGCTCCCTTCGGGCAGGTGCATTAGGCAACGGTAACCCTCACTATAAAAACCCTCGCGCTCCGAGGGAAAAGGGGGAGAACAAAAAAAAACCCCTTGCGACTATTCACTAACTTGATCGTCGGAGGGGTCGGACCGAGCTCCCCGACCCGACCTGTGTGCAGGTGCGAAGACGGAGGCATCCCACTAGACGCCCAGGCGAGGAGTTCCCTCTCGGAGGAGACAATGACCCCGTTTCGATCGGACCACCGTAATCGGCCACTTCAGCAGTCTCAAGGGTCACCCCGGGAAGATCCCCATCATCCGGACCCGAACCAAGCCGCGTCGACCCCGAGGCCACGGCTTCAAGTTGTTTACACCAACATTTTGACACTAGAAGGAGGGCCCGAATGTCAGGGGATCGCCCTATTGACTCAGACGAGCTCGCAGCTGAGGGGTCACGCCCGATTGGAGCTCCGGGGGAACACCCGAGACGAACCCCCCGTTGAGACTTCAGAGTGCTATTGGCGGATATTTAACGACCCGGGCCTGTGGCCGCCTGACGGCGCCCTAGTTGGCCTGTCGCCCGTGTTGTCCGAGGCCTTTCAGGACCTCACTCATCAAGTCTGAACTCTGACCGGTATGGTGCAGTCCATTCTCCCACTCATTTCTCGTCCGCTACACCCGCTTGCAATCCAACCGCTGCGGCAACAGGAGCCACTCGTTCGGGCTCGCACCCCACCTCGGGAGCTTCCGACTTCCCCTCGAGACCGAACGGCCCCACTCGGGGACCAAGCGACGGCAAATCCAAGAGGCCGCCCGGAACCCGAGGCATTCGTCTCAGATTCCACGGATTCCCTGCGAGCCCAGCTACGCTTCGTTAGTCAACGGCTCGATGAGGTGTAGAAGGAGGTTCGCAGGTCGAGGGGAGAGCTCGGGGAGGACACGCACCAGGGATCTCCATTTACACCCGAGATACAGGATCAGACAGTTCCCCCGAACTTCCGACTTCCCTCCTTTGACGCATATGACGGCTCCACCGATCCAATGGACCATGTAGCCGCTTTCCGTGCCCAGATGGCACTGTACGGAACTTCTGATGCTTTGATGTGCAAAGCGTTTCCCACCACTCTGAGAGGGTCGGCCCGCGCATGGTACAACGGCCTAAAGACTAGGACGATCGCCTCCTTTGACCAGCTCGTCAAGGACTTCGAACTCAACTTCTTGGGCTATGCTCAGCCGAAACCTTCCGTTGCGCTGCTCCTTGGACTCAACGAGAGGGAGGACGAGCCCCTCTCTCATTTTGTGAATCGTTTTGCAACACAAATCCGAGGATTACCGGACGCTCATCCCTCTCTGTTGATGCAGGCATTTATGATAGGCCTGCGACCTTCCAGATTCTTCTGGTCCCTCGTGAAGCGACTCCCCACCTCGGTGTCTGAGAAGAGGGAGGAGCACAAGAGGGCCAGGCCGGAGCTGGCTCGGGGACAACTATCCGTCGCGCCGAGGCGCACGATGGACCGGCCTGACCCGCCGGCGCTGAGGACCCCGTTGCTCTCTTTGGGCGCGTCTCGAACAGAGATATTTCTCCAAATAAGGAAAAAAGGGTTACTCAAGGCCCCCAACCCGATGAAAAGCCCGCGGGAACTCACCGACCAGTCCAAGTATTGCCGCTTCCACCAACAAAGCGGGCACGATATTGAGGAGTGCCGTGAGCTGAAGCGGCAAATCGAGGAGCTCGTCCGTAGAGGACACCTCGGTCGGTACATCCGATAGAATAGGGAACTCTCACCCCATCCGGAGGGCCCCGTTGAGCGCCACATCGACGTCATCATGGGCGGCCCAGCATCCGGAGGGATCAGTATGTCCGGAAGGAAGACCTACGCCCACTCCGCTAGGGCCGATGCTCCCCAACGCGGCCCCGACCCCGAGGTCATGTTCCCTCCCGAGGGCGCTGAGCGATCAGAGCATGACGATGCACTTGTAATAACGTCTCGGATCGCTAACGCCCAAGTGAGGAGGATCATGATCAACACAGGGAGCTCAGCCGACGTGCTCTATCTTGACGCTTTCCAAAAACTTGGGTTGGCTAAAGAAGCCTTGGAGCCCATGTGCTCGGTGCTCGTGGGGTTCACCGGTGACTCGATTTCGCTGTTGGGAGCCGTCACCTTACCCCTGACTTTAGGAGCGCCACCCAGATTGAAGACGGTGATGTCCACCTTTTTGGTGGTGGATCTCCCTACCGTATACAATGCCATCCTCGGTCGCCCCACCCTCAACAAGATTAGAGCCATAGTCTCCACCTACCACCAGACGGTGAAGTTCCCGACCCACGCTGGGACCGGGGAAGTCTGGGGAAACCCCCGCGAGTCCAAGCAATGCTACCTAACGGCGGTCTTGCTACACAAAAGGGCAAAGACCGACCGACCCCTGGAGGACCCGAGGGAAACTAAGCGGCCGACCCCACATCCTGAGCCGACGGCGCCCACTTGTGACATACCGTTGATGAAGGATCGGCCGGACCAGATGATCAAAGTCGGGTCGGAACTCCCCGAGCAAGAGCGGAAGCAGCTCGTCGGCTTCTTGCAGGAGAACGCCGATGTCTTCACTTAGTCGCCATACGACATGACGGGCGTCGACCCAAAGACCGCCCAACATCACCTGAACATATCGCCCGATGCTCGACCAGTGAAGCAGAAGCCACGACGGCAAGCTCAAGACAGACAACATGCTGTCCGTGAAGAGGTGGAGCGACTCTTGGCAGCAAGCTTCATTGAAGAAGTCAAGTACCCGCGATGGCTGTCTAATGTAGTCCTGGTGAAGAAATCTAATGGGAGCTGGAGAATGTGTGTTGACTACACTAGTCTCAATTGTGCATGCCCAAAGGACTGCTATCCCCTCCCGAGGATCAACCAGCTGATCGACGCAACCGCCGGGCACGCCCGCCTTTTGTTCATGGATGCCTTCTCTGGCTACAACCAGATCAGAATAGTGCCCAAGGACCAAGAGCACACGGCTTTTCTCACTGATCTAGGGGTGTATTTCTACAAAGTTATGTCGTTCGGGCTGAAGAACGCCGGTGCTACCTATCAGAGAGCCATAAACAAGATGTTCGCCCAACAGATCGGGCGGAACATCGAGGTCTATGTCGACGACATGATCGTGAAGAGCCATGCGACGGCGGATCACCTGACCGACTTGGTCGAAACGTTTGCCACACTGCGGAGGTATGGTCTGCGACTCAACCCAACAAAGTGTGTTTTTGGCGTCAACTCGAGAAAGTTCCTCAGATTCATCGTATACGAAAGAGGAATCGACGTCAACCCGGAAAAGGTCCAAGCGATCATCGACATGTAAACCCCTTAGACAATCAAGGACTTGCAGCGACTGAATGGAAGGCTCGCTGCCTTATTCCGGTTTCTATCCCGATCTGGTGATCGTTGCCTCCCCTTCTTTCGGGCGCTGAAGAACCCGAAGAACTTTCAATGGACGGCGCAGTGCGAAGAAGCTTTTGGACAAGTCAAACAACACCTGGCCAACCTCCCCTGCCTTGCCTCGATCTCTTTTGGGGAAAAACTCAGTATCTACCTGGCTGCCTCCTGGCACGCGATCAGCTCCGTCCTGATCAAAGAAGCCTCCGGTAAGTAACTATCGGTCTACTACATCAGCTATGTCCTGAATGGGCCTAAGGAGCGGTATCCACCAATCGAGAGACTTGCTTTGGCGCTCATGCTGGCGGCCCGGAAACTGCGCCCCTACTTCCAAGCCCACTCGATTGAGGTAATCACCGACCAATCGCTCAGGTAGGTTTTATCCAAATTCGATGTTGCAGGTCGGCTCCTCAAGTGGTTAGTAGAGCTTGGAGAGTTCGACATACATTACATGCCGAGGACAGCCATCAAAGCCTAGTCGATAGCCGACTTCATCTCGGAACTCGTTCAGATGGAGGACGAGGGTTCCGGGCGGCCTAGGGAAGCGTGGATCCTGCACATGGACAGCTCGACTACCTCAAGTGGTGTGAGTGCGGGACTGGTGTTATCAGCGCCCGACGGGCGTTCGTTCGAACGCTCCCTCCGCTTTGGGTTCCAAGCAACCAACAACGAAGCCGAATATAAGGCACTCCTGGCAGGACTCAGACTGGCCCTTGAGATGCAGGTGAATGCCATCCACGTCCTCACTGATTCGCAGCTGGTGGCCGAGCAACTCAGCGGCGGATACGAGGCCAGGGAACCAACCATGGCGAAGTACCTGGCGAAGGTAAAAAGCCTAGCCTCCAATTTCTCTCACTTTACGGTATCTAGGGTGCCAAGGAGTCAGAACGAGCGAGCCGACGAGCTGGCTAAAGTGGCCTCAAGGTCAGACTCCAAAGCCTAGCCTGAGATTGAAGAGCTCCCCTTTCGTGCCATCTCGGTCTCGGCTGTATCTTCAGCCGACACACGTACCACATGGGTGCAGGAGATGTTGCGCTTCAAGCGCGATGAGATTCTTCCCGCCGATGAGGCTGCGACTCGGTGCATCCACCGAACGCAGGCATGGTACTCCGAGGTGAACGGACGACTCTACAAGCAGTCCTTCTCGCATCCTCTACTACGGTGCCTCAGGCCTAAAGAGGCTCAAATGGTCCTGGCCGAGGTCCACGAGGGGATTTGCGGTGAGCATATCGCTGGACGGACCTTGGCTTACAAAATCCTTCGCCAAGGATACTATTGGCCCACCATGTCCCGAGACGCAAGATCTTACGTACAACGGTGCGGCCCGTGCCAAAGGCACGCCCGAACGCCCCGGCAGCCTGCGGTTCCGCTCGCCCCCATTGACTACGCGTGGCCATTCGCACAATAGGGATTGGACCTCCTCGGCCCTTTCCCACCAGCTTCAGGACAATGCAGATATATTGTCGTGGGAGTAGATTACTTCACCAAGTGGGCGGAGGCCGAGTCACTAGCAACGATCACAGAACGACAAGTGGAGAAGTTTGTCTGGAAAAATATCGTGACTCGGTTCGGCTTGCCCAGAACCATCATCACGGACAACGGATCCCAGTTCGCTAGCACAAGGTTCCGAGAGTTCTACGCGAACTACGGGATTCAACTGAGGTTCAGCTCGGTGGCCCACCCCGAGACGAACGGATTGGCTGAGGTGACCAACCGATCTATTCTGGATGGGCTCAGGAGGAGAGTGTCCATGGCCCAATCGGCTTGGGTGGACGAGCTCCCAAGTATCCTATGGTCCCTGTGGACCACCCCCAAAACCGCAACCGGGGAGTCCCCCTACAGCCTCTCATTCGGGACTGAGGCCGTCCTGCCCCCCGAAGTGGTTTTCCCTACCCCTCGGACGGAAAACTACGATGAAAGGACGTCGAACCAAGGATTACAAGCTGGCCTCGACCTGCTCGAAGAGCGGCGCGCTGATGCGCACCTGAAAGACCTCTCTTACAAAAGAGCCGTCGCCAGAGTCTATAATCGCAAGGTACGGCCTCGACCAATTAAGTTAGGTGACCTAGTCCTGTGCAAGACGGAAGTCAACAACCCAACCCGGGCGCGCGACAAGCTCACCCCCAACTGGGAAGGACCTTATCGGGTTATCGACGTCGTCAGGGTCGGCACGTATCGGCTTGCAACCATACAGGGCCACCCTTTGCCGAGAATGTGGAACGTGCAAAATCTTAAGAAGTTTTTCGTATGAGGCGAAAGGGATAAAGCAAAAGTCTGGAACAAAAGTTTTTCATTTAAATCGAAACTTGATTACAGGACTAGACGAGTTACAGCGCCAAACCCAAATCCCTAGGTTATTACAATGTTCTACCCTATTTCTTGGAGGTTTCGGTGCTGTCATCAAAAGGGACCTCGTCCGGCATGCCAACGCTCAGGTCTTCGAGGCAGGAGGTGAAGGGGTCTTCCTCGACCTCCAGGTTGGGGTAGCGCGCCTTGAAGTGGGCCAGGGCAATCCGCTATCCATATTCATAGGTGACCTGCCCCGATTGGACCAAACCGAGCTGAAAGCCCGAGGACTCTTTGTAGTCCTCGATCAGCTTCTTGTCTTTCTCCGGCCGCTGACTCATCTCGGCGGCCAGGGCGTCGGAAGCCCCCTTCACATCAGCGTGTGCCTCCTCCAGCTTTCGAGCGAGGCCCGACGCCTTGTCCCGAGCCAGACGAGCTTCGGTCCGAGTCATCCTCAGGAACACTTGGAGCTCCTTATTCTGCTCCTCGGCTGCCTTCACCTCTGATTTGAGGCGTGCCGACTCCGCCTCTAGCTCAGAGGCGCATTGCTCGGCCGCCCTCACGACGGAGGAGAGGCGCGTCACCTCTGCCTCCAGATCGGAGGCACGCTGCTCGGCCGCTGCGATAGCCTCCAAAGCCACTCCTGTGCGGACCTCCTCGATTTGCCGACGCAGCTCCGCGTTGCGGTCGCTCAAAACGCCGAGGGCCCGACCTGCGTCGCGCATGCGGTCCATCAGTGTCATGGTATAATGTTGGCCCTGTAAAGAGAAAGAGTCAGGACGAGTACCGTTCGGGCATAGGCAGGAAGTCAATAGCAAGATGCTTACCCATAGCAACGACTTGGCATACTTGCCTAGCAAAACGTCCGAGGGCATCGTGTACAGATCCCGAGCCATATCGGGATGAAGCCCGCCTCATGCGAAGGAGGCCACGACCTCCCCGTCGGCCCATACCCGGGTCCCGCGGGTCAGGCCTGCCCACCGGGCGACCAGCGGGTCGGAGGGTTGGCCCTCCTGAAGTCCGCCCATCACCCGAGCTTGATAGGGCTCGTCTTGCGCTCCCGCGGGAAGGCAACACAGGTCACGGATGGAGGGTTCCTGGGGCGCCTTCCCTGCCCCTTCATTGCTCGGGCAGGCCTCACCCCGACCGGGGCCCCGTCGCCGATCGCGATGGCCCGGTTCAACAACGACCTCCTTGGCCTGAGCTGGCAGCATATCCGCCTTCTGGGCGTCGATCTTCGATTTCTTCCGGGGCCGACTGGCCTCGAGTTCTACTGGCGCTTCCTTCGAGCCGGCCCTTGGCTCGGCCGTTTGATGTGACGATGCGGCCGACGAAGAGCGCCCCCGCACACAGTGACGAGGCTCACCATCTCTACATGAAAACACTGACATTGGTCAGAACACCGAAAATGATCTTTTAGAAAACCCTAACGCTACCCACTGCGGTCATACCTCGAGGCACCGGGCTAAGATCCGCCTCGACCAGCCACCCCTCGGTCATTTCCCGGATAACCTAGGAGGCTGGGAGAATCTCCTTAAGCCGCTGAAGGTCCATACGCTCCTCGTCGTTCAGGGCTGGGGCGGTGTTGTCAATCATGCGCGCCGCCCATCGGAGCCCGAAGCCCCAGTCCTCCGAACGACAGACAAAAATGAAACGCCCCTTCCATCCCTTATTATTGGAAGGAGACCCGCTAACCCGGAAGCCCGGTCGGGCGGACAGATAGTAACCCCCCGACCCCTTGGAAAGATGAAAGCAGGAGAGGAAGAGGGATCGGGTCGGGACAATACTGGCGTAGTGGCACTCCCTTAGAAACACCACCAGATAGCGCCAGGAGTTCGGTGCCATTTGTGACGGGGAAATGCGCCACCACGAGATACAAGAGGTGATGACGGGATGCAATGGGAGGCGTAGCCCGGCCTCAAAGGCATCTAAAGTCAAGGCGAAACCCTTTAGGATAGGGTCATACGCCCGCTGCCTTGGCTCAGGGGTAGTAAGCACAAATTCCTCCGGGATACCATAACGACCCCAGAGGTAACCAAGCGACGACTCGCTCACAGTCGAGTCGAGGTCGTGCGGCCACATTAAGGCTTCGAGAGCCCTAGCCACTTTTTCGTCGGATGACGAGTTGGGGCTCGGCGGCGATGTTTTCTCTCCGGCATTACTAGAGGTAGGAGGTGAAGAAGGCAGGGGCGAAGAAGAAGGGGAAGCCATCCTTACCGACCTTGGGAAGGAGAAGCAGGACAGTCGATTCAGACGAAGCAATAGGGTTCGAAGAAGCAACTAGGTGAATGCAAGTGAGGAGACGTGCAGGAAGCCAACTGCACGCTATTTATAGGCTAAATCCCTCCAAAACGGCAACCCTTCCTCTCCTGAAGCACGATTGCGTTAAGCAGACCAAAACGTCACTTCGCCATAAATATGGCTTGACGTGGTAGCCAGCGGGCGCATGGTGCGGAGGCTGAAGCACTGATCTTCTCAGCCTCGAAAATCAGGGACTCCCGAAATTGATGGCCCCTTGGGCTTCCCCAAGCGGGGAATGGCCTAGCCGCCCGCGTCCGCACTTCACTATGTAGTAGATCGCTGATCAAAACCAAGTTGCTCCTCGGCTGCATGTTGCCTGAGACCACCTTTGCACGGCCT